GAAGATTTTGTGGCCACATACACACATAACATAGCTTAAATACTTATAATCCAGAAAAGGATTAAAAATAATTCAGAATAGCTAGCTTTAACAAAACTGAGAATTATGAAAGATTGATTCCACAATATAAGCATTCAAATTATGAGCAAATTTATTTTTTCTGTCAAGAACATTCTCCTCAGCCAAGCCACATGGTTTATGTAATTTCTATTTAGTAAAAAAACACATCTGAAGTTGCTTTCTGCTAAAATAGTGGAATAAGAATCATGAAGCTTATACAAACAATTAAAAATGCACATTATGCATTGCTTTTTATGCAGTCAGTCTCTCACTTGAAAAAGAACATAATGATGAACATAATAATTTAATGTGACTGGAAGGGGTGGGAGCTCTGTCTGTAGTTCGATTTTTCAAGTGTTTGAAAAAAAGAAAAAAGCATTGAGAAAAAAAACCCTAAACAACCTTTCTTTGTAAATGGACAAAACTGCATCAGAAAAATATCCATCGTCAATTAAGGTTCCAAAAGGGAACCGTATAACAGCTTGATTTTTTTGTCTCTTTGCTCAAATCAAACACAATGTTCATTGTAGTGAGGACCTATATTGAAAAAAAAAAATAAATAACAAATTCCTATTGGTACAGAAACAATATGGAACAAAAAACGTGTCAGAATTTACAGACAGGGAAAGTGGGCAGAAGGAATGATAACAAAATGAAAACTGGAACTGAAACTTTCACAAGAGAAATTAAAATTAGACTTAAAACAGTTGGAGACCATAAAAGGAATTAGGAGACCACATTCTAAAACAGGAGCTGGACACTGCAAATAAAAATTAAGTGTAATTAACATCAGGAAGTTTTCAGAATGAACTGAAAGTTGGCAATAAGAAATAAAACCTTTGTTTGAACAGTAGCTCTTGTTCGGGTAGATCTAGACATCCAAATACACAACTTGAAGTCTGTAGAAGTTGCAAGGATTGGAGAGATGAAAACATGAGGTGACCAGCAACCTGACTGTCACAAACTAGAAGGTCTTCCAGGAAATGGGTGTCCAAGTTAACATCTACTCACAGAGGTGAACTGTAGTGTAAAAAAATCATGCCTAGAAAGGAAATCAAAGACTTAAGAGCAGTTCAGCTGTCTTTTAGGTAAGCAGAAGACATGGATCACCAGACTTGTTATACTAGTTATAATTTACTGAGGCTTTAAGGGAAAGTCAGATTATTCCAGGTAACAGTGTAAATACTGCACCCAGTGATACTTCCTGAGAAAGTTCTGGTAACCATATCTGTGGTCTAGCTCTCAGTGCGCTGCAGAATTTAAGCCATGAAAGAGTATAAAATATCCTGGCATCATACCATACTGGCACTATGGAGCTAGCCATCAATTTAACCCAACAGTTTTAAGGAAAAAAAGAAAAAGAAGAAACTCCAACAGAAATGGAAGTTGTTTTGTAGATGTGCTTTTCAGGCACACACAAATGCTAGTGATGATTTCTGAGATAAGTTGGCAGCAGACTTGTTTTAAAGCACAACTGACATTGGACTCAGATGTTAATCAGGAACATGAGATTGAGTGTGGAATTTACCACTGAACTTCATTCCTGCCTCAAAGAACCAAAAGGAAAACCAGCTGCTGGTCAGGAAGCTTGAGAGTCTTTATCCAGTGACAGAGAGTAAGATTTTAAACATCAGAAACAAGGCACCTGCCCATGGTGCTTAACTTGCCATAAAGCTTAGAAATCCAGCTGTGAATCTAATATGTACCAGTGATCCTAATCTAGCTCATGACATTATGAATGATTAAAAAAGTGATAGCTTTCTCATCAGAGAAAGGAAAATAACAATACTGTAGCAATAAAGGCATGAATTACAATTAAATACTGACATGCAGGAAAAAAAAAACGAACGAACAAACAAAAACCAAACTGACTAGGAAAAGGATTGTTGTGGCTGGCCAAGGTATGTAATTTCAAATACCTTTAAAAAGTCTGAGGAAGTCCTCTTATAGACTTGACCCCCAAGAAGCCCTCCTAGGAAACTGATAACTTCTGTGAAATTCATGGGAATTATTAAATTAGACATGCTAAAAGGCTAGAGAATAGAGAATCCAATACTTTGTCACCTAATTTGGCAAAAATGGAGACAGTGACTGGGAAAGTTACGTTCATCCAAGAACTAAAAAGCTGGACTTTGAGCAAGAAGTACTGATAGCCAAGTTAGCACATGATCTAATAATCTGCTTGGATTTGATTATTGCTGATGACTGCCTAATAAATACCAGAAACTGTGTCTTGGAAAGTAAGCTTTTAGAACCCCCCTTTCTAAAAGCTAAGAAAGAAGATGGCTAAACCAATCTTGCACAACAATGAATCTGCATAAAAGGTTTTGTATTCATTACTTGTTGTTTCAGATACCAAAGAAAGTGTAACTTTTTTTTTTCCCAGAGTGGAGATTTGATGTCAATGGAAATGGAGCCAAAAGAACAAGGAGAAAAAATTAGTACCACTATTACTGTAGTATCATTGACTTTGTGGCAATTTATGTCTGCATGGAGTTATTTATGTCCTACTTTCAAAAGATTTATGGCTACTTTATCTCTCTCTTAACCTGTTTCCTGTGTTGGTGTCTGGAAAATACATAGAATAGGAATTGAAGTCCTTGCATGTAAGATGTAGACATCAGCATGTGAGCTGAATCAAAGACAATGATCACCTCAAAGTTTGTCTGCAGAGTGAGCTGGTGCCAGGTGACTCTGTAACCCAGCAGTGTTGTCACTCACCTTTGTAGAGATTAACCCATGTGCACCTTTTCCAAGCTACCTGCTGTTTGGATCTCAGCTAAGAGTCGGAGAAAATGTGCAATGGTTTTCTAAAGCTGGAACAGTCAATAACTTGTGAGGGCACTAGCAGTACCGCAGGTTGGTGGTCTGAGACCCTGTCCAGCTCAGAAGCTGGCAGTCAGTACTTGCCTGTAACCGAATAACTTCAACAGTTTTCCAGATGCTTTTCCAATAAGAACTAAATGCATTGAAACTAAAAGAAGCCCCAGGGACTTATTATTACTGTTATTATTTTACTATGATATTGTTTATTTCTGTTAGATTTCAGGTCCTAATGGGATACAAGCACAAGAGCAAATCTGGAAAGCTGCATCTGAACTATGGGCTGAGAGAACACATAGTAAGTTCAACTACTCCAAGCAAGACCAAACACCACTGTGTCCCCCACCACGCTACCTCGTTTCCATTGGAAGAAACACCAGGTAGATGTGTCAGGGAGGACAGAGGATGTGATCCCATAGATGCCACTCACTGAAAATGAGGGAATTAAGTTGGTGGTGTCCTTGCCTTGAAGCTCAGACAGTGTCACATATTCCAGTAATCCACAGAGCATCCACCAGCCTCTATCATCCAACATTTTGTGATATAAGATAATCACGAAAGGAGGCCTAAGCTAGTTACTTTGGTGAAATGGTTCACAGAAACAGAGACAAGCCTAAATTCCATCTTCTCTCATGACTTACTAATAGGATAGCTATCAGTAAGAGTCCAAAACAGATACTTTTTATTTGGTAGAAGCAAATGATCTCTTAGAAGACTATGGCATTCCTAAAGATAAGCAAAATTAGTTCAGACTGCTTGAACTAGACAAAACCAACATAATCTAATCCTGAACAGCCTCACACCACTGTAAAGGAAAATTTGAGGAAAATGTTTGACTAAGTGAAGGGATACAGATGAAAAAAGTCCACATGGGAAAACTTTATAAAGAAGAGCTGTTTTTATTAAATGGTCGAAGAAAAAACCACAGGAGAGAAAAACTGAGTAAACCTCAGTAATTCATATGGCATGTATAAATTAAAACAGTCCATATGTAGAGAATCAGTTAGGTTGCACATACAAATTCTAATTTCCTCACAATATCTTTTTGTAATTTTAATATTATTTTTACTTCACGTATATTTCAAAACACATTATATCCTCTGGTTATCCATAGTAGCAGAGATCTGACCCAAATGGTTAGTTTTTACCCGTATAATAGATATTTTTAAATAATATGAAAATATCGAAAAGAAAGCTTCTATAAAATCCAAAATGATATTTTGGTTCAATAACCTGATATTACATTTATTTCTGAAATAGTAAGTTCTGTAACAGAACTTTTTCCCACAGAATTTTTTACTGAACTGAACTTGCTTTTATTTTTAAATATTTTAATTGCTCTTTTCATTAAGTGCTTTTTGAAAACTGTTGGAAAAAAGATTTTCCTCTTCCAGGCTGATAACACAGTTCTGAAAATTTCACTGGGAGTATCACTGAAATCCAAGCCAGTCCTCAGGGACTCAGAGAAAGGAGCTCCATTAGAAAGTTTGATCAGGCAGCGAATGAAAAAACTCAGAAGTTATTTAGATTGGAGTAAAATTTTTTTGAGTTGGCAAAGGGAAAATAGCCTGCCAGAGTCATGTCATCTGTAATTTAGTAAGTTATTTATTTTCTTTTAATTCTATTTGAAGTATCAACATTTCCAGTACATTGGCTTGATTGGCAGAGGTGTTGTATGACTTGGGATAAACCCCAGTAAAACTGTTCATTCCTATCTGAGATGCTCCAAGTTTTGAAGGAGTTCCCTTCAGCTGAAAACATCCATGCATTAGGAACATCAACACATGCCTATTACCCCTAAGTGTCACAGCAAGTCAAAACTTCAGAGGGACAGAAAGCAACATTCTTTAGTGATATGCCTGGGCCTGACCTCATTTTAATCTCAGTAACTGATCTGAAAGAAACCATAAATCATGGGAAATAATACTCAGCTAATTGAGTAAAAAGAATATTATGACTCTCAAAAGTAGCAGACACGACGAAAGGTAGTTTATAAAAAACTGCAGGGCCTCACCACATCACTAGGTGCAGAACTATCTGCTTAAGATAATAAGAAATACTATTTGAAATCTAACTCTTCTATGAACTGTACAGCTATTCTACATTTTGCACCTTACCATTTTGTACTCTTTCCAGGTTTTTTGAAAATCCAGACTCCCATCTTCTCGGTGCTGTATAACTGTCCATCCTCCTCCAGCAATTTCCATATTACAATAGACCTATACAGTAAATAAAGCAAAAAAATACAAATAAGCAAACAAAATAAACTTGCACTGGAATCCTGTCATCTTGGGGGGGGGGGAAATATTTGTGAAAAACAGGACTAAGGAAGCCTGTTTTCCTATGGATTCATGCCCTACGCCCTCAATGGTATCGTCAATCTCTTGAATACAATCGGACCTCTCCTTAAATTCACTGTAATTCTCCCAGTAATATTTTGGCATTCCCATCAACAGGAGTCAATCCATTCAACACTGGTCAGTAATTTAAAGCTTTAAGTTTCTTTGCCAAATTGAAGGTTACTATCCACTTCAGTTAAATAAAAATTCATCCCTCATTTGACCGGAGAACCATATTCCACCCTCAGACAAACGAATTCCAAATCTTTCCTACTTATAAGCATTGTCAAAGTAATCCTGTGCAAGTGCTTTTGTTTTAATTTGCTCCAGGCATGCTGAGTGAAGTCCCTGTGTAGGTACAGGAAGGAAATAGGATACTGAACAGTGCAGACATGTGAACCTGATTTAGGGTAACCACAAGAAAACCTACAATTTGCTAGACAAATATTTTGTCCCTATTCTTCCTTCAGGGAAGATACTGTGAGTCAAAACATTTATCTATGGGATTTAATTTCTTTAGTCTGATTTACAGTGAGAATTTTTAAATGATGGATTTACTTTCCTTATAAGTAATTTCAAGCTCCCATGAATTCACTGCCAATTTTTAAAGCATTTAATCCTCAACTGCATTAAGACTACTCATTTTAAAGACATGCACAAACAAATGATGGGGTTTTCATACTGAAATAAAATACCTATAAAAAGACTTCTATGTTTTCCGAATAATATACCAAATTAAAAAAGAAAAACGCACTGTGAAAGAAAGATTTACAGAGGCACATCATTCACTAGCCATCATTGTGTGGTCTGGCACTTTCCTCGGTGGTAGACACAAACACCTGCCGTATTACCAGGAGTGCCAAGCTGATTATAGATGTTCATTGTGCATAGCTCTAGCCAACAAATGTCCTGGACTGGCTTCTGTCCCAGAGAGGGTCAAGGCACTCAGCCATTAAGCACCTTTTAACATGTTCTGATATTTAGCTCTCTACTAGAAAAGGATGAAGAAAACTGACTTTGACTTCATACAGATCTTTAGATTCTGAGTTTATTATCAATAAAATAACCTGAATTAGACTAAAAGAGCATAAAAAGCACTTCACTCTTGTCCTTCCTTAAACACATGGGTGAAAATACTCTACTAAAAAGCATATTTGAGATTATTTATACTTATTTGAGCTTTAAGGAGTAAATTATTATAAACTTCAGAATAACCATTTAGAGATCAGCCCAATTTTAAATAGGAAAACAGGAAGCAGATTACCACATACTGCCATGATGACAGTCTCCACAATATATGGGGCCAGAATACATTTAATGCGTTAACATTCTGACAGATACACTCAGAGACACCATCAACACTAATTTGGTAGGAAGTCCGCAGGCAGATTGTAGAGGTGGGGTGGAGTGAAGACTGCATACATGACAATGTTGGTAATTGCTTTTCAGAGCCATAAAAGACCCAGATATATAGACCTCACTATCAATTAATAGCATTACATTTTCAGTGCAGTATACCCAGAAGTTGGTAGCACTCATGCTTGTGACGGCATTAGAGGAGCCACTAAGAGAGTCCAATATATTGATCCAAGGGGAGATATGGAGGCTCTGTGTGCACTCAGACCAGTCCGCTTTCAGCTCCTGAAGGTGACTTGGTTCCTTCAGCTCCAAAATGGTGACAACCTCACTCCCACTGCTCCTCTGCTCATCAGCAGCTTCTGACCTCACATATGCAGGAGACTGAAAGGGCTCTTCTTGCCTTTACTCTCACCATGGCCTAAGGACACCATCAGGCGCATTGCACACATACACACACACATATCAAAGTAAGCCAATTAATTAGCTTAATACTTTAAGCCTATCTTTTTCTCTTCCTACCGCAAAAAATATGGAATATTGTTAAGATCATTTTAAACAGAAATTAATTTTTGATGGAGGGCTGGAAGACTAATGAACTAAACTAATGAACTGTTGAAGCCAGGAACATAAAAGAAAAATCGCAATCTCAATTTGTAAGCATATAAAAATGAGGCATATATATGGTATGGAGCTGTAAGCGATAAGGATAATTTTCTATGAATATATGAAGGTAAAACCAGTGAAAAACTAGAACTGACAGTAACATTTGTATACATGACAAAGATATATATTCTATTGAATTTCAGGATTCTAGTAAGTATCCCTTAGGAAACATAAAATGAAATGAAGGTATATTTTTGTGACTTGAAGTATAAAATTACTATAAATGGGACAGTTGCCAGTGGCTGCAAGTATTACAGAAGGTAGCAATATATTAGGCCTCTTAAGACATGTCATAGTTGTTTGTTGCACAGTGGTAATCCAGATAACTAAGCTGGCTTTAAACAAGCGGATATCTCCATGGAGTACCTAACAGGAACTATCAGCTTGGGTCCCAGAGCAATCTAACTGTGTCAGCGTGGTGCTACCTCTGGGCTAATTAGCCCTGGCACAGTGCTGTGTTGCTGTGATTCTGAAGCTCTCTCAGCTGGAGATAGTGCAGCTATCTCTGCACAGCACTACCTTGCAGACTGTTAATGCAACATTAATGTCTGACAAAACATCTGTTAAAGCAATCACACTCCTCACTTGACTAACACGAACATGCCTGGGTTCACTCTTCCTGTGTTATCACTAGGGCAAGAGAGAAACAGGTTGTGGCAGCCACACACACATACACAACACAGCACAGCCCTCCCAGGAAAAAATAATGCAATGATACCAGTCGATTTGTGCTGCCTGTATTGACTGATAGCAGTGTCTGTGAATGGGGATACAGCAGAAACACAGGGTGGCCTCCATAGCGTCACTGTTGTTATATTACCAGTGAAGTGGGTTTAAGGTAAATATACGAGAAACACCAGTGCCACAGTGCTTTCAGGTAACCATTTTTTTCATTGCAATCCAGCTTCTGTGGATAGTTTATGAACTTTAATAAGGCTAAGAAAAGCCATTGCCAATTTGTGCATGCAACTTGGACTTTGATGTTGCATCTCTGCTTTGAGTTGAACAGCTTCTACAGAACTGCTTTTACTGTTCTTGTCCTGTACAGTAATGCTTAAAGGGCTCTCTGTATGTTATGTCAATTATTTTTCCATTCACATTCACCAGAATTACATTGATCTTTGCCCATAGCACTCTCCCATCCCAACTCTACTCATGGTTTAATGAATTCTAATTCCTTAGTAAACTATAAAAATCTTGACATTTACAGGCTTCCAAAGGCTTCTAATAAAACCAAATTCATTTTAGGAATAAGTTTTACATATCTTAATAGCAGCATAAAATTATTATATACAATAAGATTGGTAATATTCATTATTGCTTTTTTCTGTTTGCAGGGTCACTATTTTACTGTAGTAGGAATAAATTCCCCATAGAGAAGTGGTTCCCTCCCTCCCATCTGGCCCACTTGCTGGACACTGTTCTTTCATGTTCCTAGCTCCAGCTGAGCCAGGTACCTTATCACCAAAAGCCTTTGAAAAAAACAGCAGTCTCCTTTACAGACTAATGTTTCCTTTTCATCAAAAAACCTCCTAAGAATTTTTTTTGAGAAAAACAAGATTATACATGTTTCGTCTTTTCAAACAGTGCTAATATTCAGCATGTTGTGTTCTACACAGTCAAAATACTCTTCCTTGCTCCTTACAAAAGAAGCAGGATTTTTGTAGATCTTCAGATTTAAAATTACTCAGAATGCTATTTCTTTCCCTGTGCTACCAGATAATTCCCCCATCAGCTTCCTCATTATAGCACTTCACTAATTCTCTTCTAAACTTTATTGCAGACTGATCTGCAGCCATAGTGCGATTCAACTGAACTTGCCAAGTGGGAAGAATTGAGTTGACCGTTGAGTACAGATTGGAACTCAGGAAGATTTCTCTGTCAGAAAGAAAGAAGAATGTCCAGAATAATACACTTTATCATTTTCTTCACTCTCTTTTACTCAAGATTGAATATAGTCCATGTTATTTATACCAGTAAATTTTGTAGAATGAGAACTTCAATAAAGGCTCCAAATGCTCCCTTAAGACCAGAGCAACATCATATTAAAAACAAAGAAAATAAAAAAAAATACCTTTTTAGGATCTGACACATTGTTAATATAAATAGTGTAGACACCACTTTTGTTGAAACCAGATTGGTATACATCTGCGCAGTCTCTGAAAGGCTTTTCTTCCTCCTTTTTTGCATTCTTTAGTAGAACTGCAAAACAGAAAAATATGGTAAGTCACAACAGCAATCTTAAGCATTTTGGTATCAAGGAAGTCCACTTTTGCACACTGTATTCCTTTTAAACACACACAGTAATAACTGCACTAGGGTCATTACACAGTCCATTTGGTAAATTCTACTAAAGAACTAGTATGAAACCTTCAGATGTATGGCAGAGTAGGCACCAGCAAATGTAAGTCGAGATACTAAACAGAGCATCCTTTCTACTGAGAGGTGAACACAGCACATTCCTCCTGAGTGTAAAGGTCTGTGCAGGTGCAGATGTTGCCCCTGTCTCAAGCTGCATCTGGGAGGTTGCAACAGAATGCTCAAGAGTTGGCACATGGAGATGGACAAGCTTCTTCAGTGATGTGATCTGAGACAAATGCTTACCTAAGACAGCAACACAGAACTTTGCCTTTTAAGCAGCCTAGGGGCTTGGGGCAAGGAAGCTGTTAGGTTAAGTTTATTTCTTTGGCAGAGAATTATTTCATGGTATTCACTTCTAAATACATAGAAGTTGCTAGATACCATTTGTGAAAAAAGAAGAAAAATCAGTACTACTGAAATCAGTTGTTCAGAATCATGATTTATTTGCTTTATTTTTGGCTCAGAACAGGAAAACAATTAATGTTTCAACAATACCACTGCAGATTTTGATCCTGTATATTGCAGATGGACTACATATACGAGTCTGAGCTCAGAAATCAGGAGGGCAAGGTGTCTGAGGATCCCAGTCTTAAACAACCAGGAGATTCCCTGTAGAAGGGGTAACATCTGAGAGTGTTCCTTCACTTTCACAAACAAAAGTAGCGTGACCCCACACGATCCTGAAGGATATGACTTCACTCCAGCAACGCATACTTTAAGCACATCAGTATTCCCATGGAAATCCATCAGTCTACTCAAATTCTTAAAGTCAAACATGTTCTTAAGCGCTGTGCAGGGCCCAGGCCAGCACTTCATTAATCCCTACTATAAGGAAACAATATTTAAGTTCTCCAGACACACTCATTGTTTGGTGACAGCCACATCTTTTTCATTTTTAGCTTGAAAATGTGAGTTATAGATACAAAAAGGACTACGCCTTATTCACTCTCAATGACATGGCCTGTGCTGCAAATCTGGTGCTTAATGACAATGGTGTGCAGAAGAGCAACGGCCTTGCACAGCGTGTGGGACCCTAAGATGGTATGCAGTAATGCCAAGGCCTTGCAGCTTCATAAACTATCTCCCATTTGAACACTTCAAAGCAGTACTTTAGGATGGCAAATTCCCACCAGATCAATTAGCATTAATAGCATTTCAAAGATGGGGAAACTGAGGAAGATAAAGGTTAAATGTTTTACCTCAGTGATTTTGTGAAAAGGTAAAAAAAGAAAATTAGTGAGAAATCCAGTCTGAACTGTACAGCTATCCTGCTATCTAGGTAGGCATTTTACAAAGATTATCATATTCTTTTTTCTCCTTTATGTGTTTTATTTTGTCCTGTTTAAATTTTGATTTTAACAAACAAAATGCCCTTACTTCTCGCTTTCCATATATTTGCTACATACTTATTATTTTTATCCAACATCATCAATAAAAATAAAACCTGGTTTGTATACTTGCATATGAACTTCAACTGGAAAATAAATGGATTTGAAACTTTGCTGTATTTGGAAAAGGTAGTACTGGCAATGCAGTAGATGACACACTACCCCAGGAGATGGCAGTGAAGGAGGTCCTCAGCAAGGCATCCATCAACAGTGCACTCTCAAAGGTGCCATTTTTTAGATAAGACATAGAACTGAGGCCTTCATGATTTGTGTTAATTGAAGATTTCATGGTACTTTCCTGTAAGCAGATGGTGTTAGCATCAGTGGCCAAAGTCCAACTTGAATAATTACTTGGGGCAGAAGCCAAAGCATGGAGGAGTTAAAGCAAAGCCTCTCATTGATTTCAGGGGGCTTCAGATTAGATACATTCTTCCTGGCCTGAATTTCTCTAATACTGTTGTTTCAACTGTAGACACCAGTCTGTCTTGTCTAAAAAATATATTTAGTTGAGTAGAAGCCGAATGTTCATTTCCTTGAGTCTTAAAGTAAAGTCTGTATGTAGAGAGATTATCTTACCTCTATTTAACTGTTATACACATGATGAAAACCAACTGGAAGTAACTACTCAAGAGTCAAGCAAGGAAATTTGAATTTGGTTCTTTTTTTACTGAAAGTTAGAATAAAAAATATTAGTATAGCCTAAAGTTAATATTATCCAAATTTTAAACAAGATTTTTAATTTCAGAGTAATTAGAACTAGATTTTAAAATAATTTTATATTATAGGTGGATATCTAGGAAGCATACTTAGAAATAAAATTTCTCCTGATGCTTAGAGACTGGAAAAACACAATGAAACTGCTGTTGATGTCAGAGATGAAGGTGACAAGGGCAGATAGATGCCATAGATATGTCCAGTTCCTTCCATCTTTCCTCTCAGCTGAAGTACCTGAGATCACAGACAACAGATGTGTTAATTTCCTATAGACCAAGGAACCCAATACCCTTCTTTTGCAGCAGTGAGTTTTATTCCGTGAATCACTGTAGCCAGAAGGAGATGGCATCCCTCTCTCAGGAGCTGGTGCTTCCCTTGAAAGAAAAGCTCAGCTCCTTGTTGGAGGAGCTGAACTATTACAGATTGTAGCACAGTATATTGAGCATGACACACAAAGTTCAGTTCTTCTTGATATATCAGACTGTAATTTGCAAGAATAGCCCAAAGTTATCAGAAAATTAATACCCAGGAATGTTACTGGTAATGTTCTTTTAGTGTAAAAAATGTTTTTTCTAAGGTTTGCTGTTGTTTTTCTAACTTAATATTCCATACAATTTCCAAACCACTTCTACCTACTATAGCTCCAGACTGTTTTTTCTATAACATTACATAGACCTTGAATCCTGTATACATCAAGCGAAGTTCCTGAATGATACATTGGCTCACATATGGTAGACGTGTAAATAAATTCTATAGAAGTAACAAGGCTCAAAGAAAGTAGTTCTTAAACAAAATAAGTAGTATGTAGTAACATCTTTTTGTTCAGCTTCAAGATCTTAGCAAGTTTTACACAGATTTCTAATGTTAGTTTAGCTATTTTCAAATACAATGCTTATGCCAAAGTTTTATGTACCTGACGAAAAAGATAAGTCTATGTCAAGCAAAATAATATTATCATTTCTTAAACCTGAATGCTTAGCCAAAATCTGGAGCCCTGGAAGGGTTTTTTATTGCCTTTTCTGGATGAATAAACTGGTGATGAAGTCATGCTCCTTTGAAGCAATGAAGATTATGTGGAAAATCCTGATTTCTTGAACAGAAAAAGAATTAACAAGAGAAACAAGTTCTTCTTTCATTGCATTTCTAAAAGTGTTTTGGTTAATTTTTAGCCTAACAACTTTCTCCTTTGGCTACACTACTTGTGTTTCCCTACTTGTTTTTTTTTCTATTAGTTATCAGTCTCTCAGCTGTTTCTTTCCCTCAGTGCCCTGGATGATGATTTGAGCCCAGGCAATGCAGCAAGTACCATCCATAACTGACCAGAGTTCTATCAGATGGCTGCTCCCATGTAGGAGCAATCAATGAGGTTCCTGCTAACCCAGAGGCTGTGACCTGCCAGGGCCGAGCAGCTCTTCTGCTGCTATTGCTAACAGGGTATTAACCTTCAGTAGAAAGCCAAGGTCAGTGCCTGAGACTGTAGTCTCTTCAGTTTTCTTAGAAAGGGTTACTGGAGCATGTAGGTGAGAGAGTTCAGACATGTAGGGCCTTTACCCAAAACAACAGCCAGGAAACTCCCTTAACTGATAGTTGTCTGTGCCTTTGTGTGGAGTAAGACTATTTTTCTGCTATCAGTCATGGAAATAAGTTAATAGTAAATGAGTTTACTAGTTCCTAACAGCTATCACAAATGAAAGATGCCTGCTTTTCTACCTGGGTTTAAAAAAATACAAACTGACCACTAAGAATAAATAGCTTCCAAAGTATTTTGTAATCTAAAGTTCTCCTCTCGGAATATAAAATTTAAAACTTTTAAAATTTAAAATATCTTTTTTCTATCTGTTTGAAAATTAAGTAATCTCCTTTTTAATAGAAAAAAGTGAAAAATAATATATTTGATTTTTTAAATTGAGATTTCTGAGTTTTTTTGAGAAAATGAAGTGGTTATCTCATTGCTTTTCAAGTCTCCATCAGATATTTGGTGAATGAATAGTTTGTAAGCAATAAAGAATGTTAAACTGCAGTTCATTATGTCGACTGAATCAACAAAATCACATTCATATTTACGAAATTATTTAAGATCTGAACTGCCATATTTGTGAAAACATCTGAGACCGAGTTAATCACTAGTCTTATGTCCTTTAGTGATACTGCCAGCAAATGGAAGGCAGCTGTTGGCTTTTTGGCATGGTATCGACTTATTAGGATAGATATGCAGAGATTTCTGTAGTGCCTTAGTGAATTATTACTTTTTCATTGTTTTAATGTTTTATTTACATGAATCTATTTTTCTTATAGGACTTAATAATCACTATGCATACCAAAATACACTTTAAAAAATTCTCGATGCTTTTGAAGCCAGGAAGGAAAAGTTTCTCTCTATATCTCACTGGAAAATAAAATTGACCTAAATTTTAGCTGCTCTGTCAAAAGAATCTGAGGTGAAAATTCCTGTCCCCAGATGAGCAGCTTCTAAAAAATCAAAAAGGTGAAGGTTGTAAATAGATGGCTTTTACCTACAGCTGTAGCATTCCAGGACAGGGTCATTCAAGGACTACCAAATGGCAGTTTCTGTCTAGATCCAGACTGCAAATAAATTTTGCCTTGATCTTGTCATGGTTCCAGACACATGGTGAGGAATCCTACATTTCTGTGAGACCCTGTATCTCTGACCTCTTTCCCAGCCATTTGGGTGCAGCTGCTGTGCACCACCACAGTTCCAGTTATGATGGCGAATAATGC